GAGTTGAAATCTAATTCTAAGATATGGTCTTTCATTCCTGGGGCTGTTATTTGGACCATTTGGAAAACCAGAAATTTTATTGTTTTTGAAGGGGGGAAGCTTGATCAGACAGAGTTATTCTTCTTAACAAGAGTTAGGCTTGCTTCTTGATTCTTAGCAAAGCATAAGGATATTTCTATTCCTAAGGACTCGTTGATTTCTGATCCTTCATTAGGGGATTCTTATTCGACCTATAATAAGTCTTCTATAATCCCTTGGTCACCTCCCCCTATGGGTTTCATTAAATTGAATGCGGATGCAGCCATTAGCAGTGATTGGAAGAAATCAGGTCTTGGAGGTATTTTGAGGGATCATTCTGGTGTAATCCTAGGTTCTTTTCAGGAGCCTGATGGTTCGGGACCTCTGACTTTGAAGGAACTTAAAACTCTTCAAAGGGGAATTTCTTTCTTTACCTCTGTTCAAGGGAGGTTTAAAGATAGGCTGATTGTTGAGAGTGATAGCAGGGTTGCAGTAGACTGGATCAATAATGTGGATTCATGTCCAGTTGTATATGGTTTTATTGTTAGAGATATAGTTGATAGTCTTAGAATTTTGGGGGGTTGTTAGATGGGTTGCAAGGACAGCTAATATGGATGCTGATGCTTTAGCAAAGACTGGTATAGGATGATTTTTATGTTGTTGGTATTTTCATATTGGTTTTTAGGTTCATGTTAGGATGGGGTTTGCTCATTGTTGTAAGGGTTATTTGGAATAGATTTTCCATGGTTGTAATTATTATTTTCTATAATGAAATATAAGGCACTCTTTTCCTCCTTCCGCTGATTAAGGAGCTTCTATACAAGCTCCATTAATCATGAAGGAGGTTTTTAATGAGGCCTTCAAATCTTATAAAAAAAATAATATATGAATATTAATCATAGAAGAAAATCTCTATCCAACCCTTCACAGAAATGACCCCTACAACTATGGCCTTTCTTCAATAGGAAGAGCAATCTTTTCTTGGTTACTAGAAATACTCCATCCCCTGCCCTCACATGAGGAAGAATTTTCTTTGCATATTAGTGCCAACGGTAGAAGAAACTCAAGATTAATTCTATTTTTCTTTAAGTTAAAAGAAATAAAACAAGTGAAATAAGCCAATACCTTATATATAGCTCCATAAGGCGGTCTATCTTCTCACATTCATTCTCAACAAATTTACTTCACAACCTTTCCCTTCTGGAACCTCTCAAAATTCCACCTGGAAATAAGACCATAAGCATGTAAATGTGGCTGACTATTATTTGATCTATAGGGTTCAGCAGTTGAGAAATGTGTTTCATTAAGGTTCTAAAAAGGTTTATGATTAATTCTTAATCATCTGCAGAAGAGGAATGCTTATGCATGGTCAGTGGTCTCACAGCCACGCCATCAATAACCAGGTTTAGACCAGATTCAAAGAACAACCGGAATGAAATATAAGGCCATTTAAAACAACGCAGTAATAATGTTATGCTTATATAGAGGAGCTTACCAAACAATGATGCAATTAGTGATACAAGGCGCTCTTCCAACTCCTCTTGGTAGCTTTCCTTCTTGTTCTTCTTACTTATAGGAATCTAAAAATTGCAGGAGCAAATGACATAGTATTAGGTACTGAATGTAATTAGACACGGATAAGTGCTCAAAAGATAAAGACATACACAGAAGGTAACTTGCCTTACCCATGAAAGCTGCAAAGGCAGTCTTCAATCCCAAAACATCCACGAATCGCTCGCACGCATGTGTATACTTGGTCATGGAAAAATCAAGTGCCCTGATGGCAGATGCATAAGCAGATTTCTTCTGCTTCATAATAATGATCATAACTCCACTCCTTCGGCCTTAACAAACCTCTCCTTGTTGTCCATTGGCATCAATAAACAACACAAGCAATCGAACAAATTCTCCAGCATTTCCTCTTCATCTGAAGTCTTGGGATCCTTTGATTTATATATAGCCACCGCCTGCAGAACCACATCCACGCCGTTCATTTGTCCCAATCTCTTCTGATTGGCAGGGCTGTTTTGAAGCAATATGGCCAATATCTCCGAGGCATACTGCTTGTTACTATCGAATTCCCTCACTTTGATCTTCCCCAACAACCATCTCAACAACTTGGTCCTCTCGCAGACCAACTCAGCCACGGCAGGCTTCACCTCTATCATGTTCTCAATGCTGGCCAGGGTGTTGTAAATAGCATTCATCTCATCGGAGTCCTTGTCCGATAAGCGTTGCAGATTCTGAACCAACAGCTCCAACACATTGTTCTCGATAAGAGAATCCACCAGAATCCTGGCGGGCTCGTCGTTGTCCTCAAGAACATCCTCGTCCGTCAAGTCCTCTAACAAATGCACAACGTCGATGGCAATGTCCGTGTTGTCGTGGGACAAGAGGTTGAGAATGGAAGGGATGGCGTTGAGATTGACCAGCTCAGGGTACAACTCAGGGGCTCCAGCAAGAATCTTTAGCTTCTCCAGCTCCTCGTGAAGCTCCACTTCCGAGTCGGCGAACCGCTCGGGTTGGGTACTTGAGGCGGGCCTCGATATTCTCCTTTAAGCGGCGCTCGAAGGAAAGGACTAGCTTCTTGAGGGTGCGGAGGTCGAGTAACTCGACGGCGTTTTGGGATTTCTCGACGGCTTCGAGGAGGGAAAGGTCGACATCCGCCTCCACCTAATTGTCGCCGTCGTACCTCTTTCGTTTAAGAGCGTTGTTAACTTCCATGGTAGAATTCCACCGCCTGCTCGTACTGCTTGCTTCTACTTGTACTGTAGGTGGGATTCGGAAATCCGCCGAGTTTCAGTTAGGCCGTGAAGCGTTTTCTTGTTTTCTCTGGAAGGCCGGCCGTGCTTCCTAGTTCCTCCCTTGAGCTGACAAATATTAGGGTGAATTATACTTGTGATCATTAAATTATAGGAGATCTTAACAGGAGCATTAATCATTTAATTTTATCAATTAAATTTTTAATTATTTAAATAATGTTAATCAAATTATCTATTTTTAACATTTAAAATAGAATACGACGTCACAGTTAAAGTTATATTATAATTAGGGTAAAGTATATAAATAGTCCCCAAACTTTTAGGATGCTTGCATTTTAGTCACCCAACTTTTGAAACTTGTAATACAATCATCAAACTTTTAGTTCATTTTCATTTTGGTCCCTACCATTTCCTCCCGTTAGTTTTTACTGACGTGACAATTAACCTCGTTAACTTTTATGACGTGGCTTTTTCTTTTTCCTCCTCTTCTTCTGTTTTTCTTCTTCTTCCTTCTTTTTCTTCTTCTTCAAAGCAATTATCTTCAGCTTCAAAACCCGATTCCAAAATCGACCCAACATGCAGGAGGGATGGTAGATAGCAATTACCAAGCTACAAAGACGTTGTGGTTGGGTTTGAAGAACGGTAGGGGCGAGATAGTTGAAGGTGGTACCAATGGTGGTAACGCAAGGTTGAATCTGTCGTGGCAGGTAGGAAGGGTGGCAACATTGGTGGAGAAACAAGACACGTGCTTGGATTGGTTATGTTTGTCGTATGAGCAGCTGTCATGGTCAGTGAGAAAAATGTTCGCAGGTTGCAGCTGTGGGATCTAGGAGCGATGGAAAGGAGACCAAGGAATGAGAGCTCGGTTCTTGGTAGAGCAACATGGACGCTACATTCATGGTGGTTCTCTTGGCTCCTCCGCCGCCATTGTCGGTGCCACACTTCTAAAAGACCCTGGATATCACCCATTATTTCTGCCAATATGTTGGGTTTTCTTGTTGTTCATCATGTAATGCATAGACCTAGTTATCGAGATTGTTGTGAAATGTATACGAATGGAATATCGCTACCACTTCCATGCATTCAAGAACATCGATGTCCTCTAGTGGTGACATTATTACCTGGGGACATAGACACTTGGGAAAGGAAGCAACCTTTGTTGAAAGCCATGAAAATGGTGGTGACTGCTGTCTCCACTAAAGATGTGTGAAAATATACCGACAAGTTTGAAAGCCATGAATCGGGTTTTGAAGTTGAAGATGGTTGCTTTGAAAAAGAAGAAGAAAGAAAGAAGAACAAGAAAAAGTCACGTTAGAAAAGTTAACAGAGTTAAGTGCCACTTCAACAAAAACTGACAAGAGGTAACGATAGGGACCAAAATGAAAACGAACTACAAGTTCGATGATTGTATTTCAAGTTTCAAAAGTTGGATGATCAAAATGCAAGTATCCTAAAAGTTTGGGACTATTTATATACTTTACCCTTAAAATTATGTATTTGATTTATATTATTTACATATTCTATCAATTTAATTTTAATTTTAATTTAATTCAATAAATTTAAGTATCTACAAATTTGAGATGTACAGTTGACATATTGTTGGGTTACTATAATAAAGAATTTGGTTTATACATTTCGTTTACTATAATAATTCTTTTCTTCAGATTTTTAAAGTTATTTATGAGATTTAATGGTGACTGTAATAAAGAATTTAAATTTATTTTGAATTAATTTATAATTAAGGCTAATATTTTATTTTACAATAATATCAATTTTTTTAATAATTTAGAAAAAAAAGTTACATAATGCTGTTAAAATATGAACACTGTTAAAATGTGACCTTATAATTCGAGTTGAATTAATATGTCATCTGTCGGTACTGCAGGTCGAGTTCGTTCTTTTTTACATGTTATTGGATAGGACGGACGTAAGATTTAATGTTAAGAATAGTGAAATTTATAAAATTTTATGTAGGGGTAAACTTATAAAATTTTAGGGGGCAAAAACATATATTCAATAGAAAATACAAAGAAAATATCTAAATTATATATGAATTTAAAAATTTTAAGAGAGCGACCCGCCCCACCCGCCTCATCTAATTCCATCTCCGTTGTTGGATATCTTCAATTGGACACATAACAGATTTATTGAAAACAGAAAATTGAAGCAATATTTATCCAAGAAGATAGTCTATTTACATTTACGGTATGCAATTTTTTCAATGTTACAAATTACATGCGAGACTCAAGAAATGCAAGAACAGCTATACCGGCTGCCCAAACATCATCGTCCAATACGTGCTCCTCGGGGGAGTGACTTATGCCTCCCCGACAGCGGACAAATAGCATTCCGACCTGTTCCAAAATCATGGCTGCCGTTACGGTTCAACCACTAATTTTAATTATGCCTTAAGTTAAAAAAGGGAAATCGACATGAACCTTGGTTAAATGAGACATGGCCATTGCATCATGTCCTGCTCCGCTCATTAGCACAGGAACCTCTTCGTGAATCTCCCCTATCATTCTGTGGACAGCGGTGTAAGCCGCGGATCGTAGCCGTGAGCTCAGTTCTAGATCACAAATTACTGCATTTGCATCATGCTGAAATGATCCACAGCGGACAAAGTTTTATCAATTTTTCTTCTTGTGAACAAATGCCTCACGAAAACGTTAAGAAAATGTACTACCAAGATACAGCACGTCGATCACATATTTTATAAATCTGATTAGATAATTCATAAACAACGGCCTCACATCCGACATCATCGATTGCACGTAAATCCACAGTGAATGTTACCTGCATTAGAGTTGATATTACTGCTCATCAGCATTCCTGTTTAGGCTGACATTGAGATTTGTTCACGGAACAATTAATATTTTATTATCAACTTTCGTGTTTTAGTTACGTTTACTCGAATTTTCTCGGGCCCTATTGTTTTATTATTCTTTTTTGTGTAAACTACAGATGGTCATTAATATTTGATTAAGTTTTTGTTTTCACCAATAATGTTTCGAAAATCAAAAATCGATCATTAACGTTATTGTTTATTACAAATTGGTCATTCAACATTAACGGCAGTTACTGTAGGTAACGAAACGCTGACATGGTGTGTTAATTGATGATTTGTTATTTTGACCTACCATTCTCTTTCACTTTCACTCTTTCATCTCCATACTTCTTTTTAACTCAAAACCCACCATTTTCATTAGTTTTTCTTCTTCAATCTTCATCTTCACGTTCATCCCACAACTCTCTTTGTCTCGAGCAAAGAAACCATGACGAGTCTCGATGTTTTGGTGGCTATCCATCAAAGAAACGATGGATTTTTGTTCTATGGTTTGAAGAAGATGAGCTCGTTGTTAATGGCGTAAATTGCCATGAATCCTCCATTGATGAACCTGAGAAGCTCCTACAAGGCTTAGTGGCATGTTTTTAAAGTTACAACCCAATGCCAAGAGCTCTTGAGGCATGGGGATACATGAAGCGGTCATTGAGCTGAGACTGAAAACCAGTGTAACCGGTTCCATGGCAGTTATTTTCATTTTCGGAGAAAGACAAGCTTTAGGACAAGCTTTGGGTTGCTGCCGGAGTGTTTTCCATTGTTGTACCAGTAGGTTCCATAGGCTTTCTCGAACGGTTTTTGCCTCTATGCATGTTCCTTTCACAGTACTTGAAATCAATGTAAGCTTGTTTCGAGCATCTTCATTTTTTTCGATCTGTTATTCAACAACTCACAGTCTTCGGATCCATTTTTCTCCCCTTGAAACAGTTCCATCCAACTACTAAACACAACAAAGAAACATTGTTAAATCCATAACCAAACAACAACAATTCATTACAAAAAAAATGGGGGCTTTAAGCTTTTACCATGTTGAGGCTGATAAGAGAAAAACTTGGAAGAAAATGAGTACTCCTCCTCCAAGAAGCTTCTTTTGATGGAGAAAATGAGATCAGGTGGTATAAGAATGCTTGAGACTATAGACTTGAAGATTAAAGCATGATGTTCAAGCTCTTTCAATTGAGTTGCAGCAAAAGGGTATCTGTTTCTCCCACTCATTCTCATTCAAGCAAAGCTAACGAGAAACCTCAAAGTTCAATAAAAAGAAGAACATTAACATGAAGAAGAATACTTTATTATACTCCTTGAGAGGCCTGCAATTTTAGTAAAGTAGGTATATTTTTTTTAGGGTCATTTATCAAGGCAGATCATTCACAAGACAATCAACCAGATTCTTAGCCTACAATCATGCAAATCTTCTCACCGAGAATAATGCCTCTGATCTCTTCAATCAATGTAAATAGATAGTGCAGCAGGTTTTCAGCAACACAGTTGTAATTCTTTCCTTTTTTTAGACCTATGTAATTCCTTAAGTTTAGCATGAACTTTGTATAAATTACATTCTAAACATATCAATGAAGGGTGAGGAATATTTCCAATGTAATACCTTTCTTCAATTCTCTACATGGTGTCAGACGACCATAACTCATACAAGAATACGATCCCTTCCTCTGACATGGTTTCCCCTCAAAATCCAAATACTCAACCTCCTTCCCCGATCGAAACTCCTCTGGTTGCTCTCAATAACACAGGCCAAATCAATGAGAAATTAACTCCCTCCACCTTTCCACAATGGCGTGCCCAATTTGAAGCTCTTCTCATTGGGTACGACCTACTAGATTATGTAACTGATCTTTCGGTCTGTCCATCATCTGATGGCACTCCATCTTCTGCTTTAAAAATGACCCACTGGGTTCGGCAAGACAAGCTGATTCTCAGTGCCCTCCTTGCCTCTACCTCCATTACAATCACTCCTCTCATTGCTACCGCTAAGACTTATTATGAGGCCTGGAAAAAATTGAACCATATGTATGCTAGCAGATCTCGAATGAGAGCTATGCAACTCAAGGAAGAAAATACCTTGATTCAAAAGGGAAATCGCTCGATTTCAGACTATCTCCATGCTGTAAAGGCGCTGGCTGATGAGATAGCTCTAATCGATCATCCTATATCCGATGATGATATAACCCTTTACATTCTTAATGGTTTGGGTTCTGATTTCAGGGAAATAGCTGCACCAATCCGTGCAAGGGAGCGATCCTTAACATTCGAAGAGCTTCATGATCTTCTGGTCGGTCATGACAGCTATCTCCGGCGACTTGAGTCGGCCACTCAACAGCTTGTGGTGTCGGCGAACTACATGAACCGCAAGGAAATAATTTCCAGAAAACTCAAGGCAAGCCCTCTGGTTTCTCACGGAACCAGGGCCAAAACAAAGACTCCAGGCCTCATAACAAATCAACGGGCCGACCTAATACTTCTCAAAAACGGTATCAGCCTAAATGTCAATTCTGTGACCAGATTTGTCACACGGACAAGCCATGTCCTCAACTGCTTTCTCATTCCGTCACTGCCAATTACACCTCTACCTCAAATGTTCCGGACAACAAATGGCTCATGGACTCCGCTGCATCTCACAACATCACTGGAGATCTCAAAAATCTATCAATTCATTCTGAATATGATGGCACCGATGAAGTTGTACTTGGTGATGGTTCAGGTTTGGATATCTCACACATCGAATCCCTCACTTTAAAATCACCACAAAAGACCTTCATTCTCCAAGATACACTTTGTGTTCCAAACATTTCCAAAAATCTTGTCTCTGTGCATCATTTTACATCCCAAAATAATATGTTTATTGAATTTCACCCTTCTTATTTTCTTGTGACGGACAAGACTTCGGGGGAGAACCTATTAAGAGGAGCATGTGAAAATGGTGTATACATCTTCCCGAAAACACTGGTGGAATCTTCTTTTCCAATGGTTGCTAATGTGCATGAAAGAACCTCTATTGACCAGTGGCACAAACGTCTTGGTCATCCGTCCTCCAAAATTGTTCACAATGTTGTGCGAAATTTTTCCCTTCTAGTCACAAAAAATAAAGATTTTTTTATGTCCTTCATGCTCTATTAATAAAGCTCATCAACAACCATTTGGTTCTAATAGTCTCTCGAGTAATGTCCCTCTTGAACTTATTTATATCGATGTTTGGGGTCTCACTCATAGTGTTGGTTTAGATGGTTCTAGATATTATCTTATTTTTATTGACCATTACACCAAATACATGTGGTTTTATTCTATGCAAACGAAATCCAGTGTTGCTAAAATTTTCCCCAATTCAAAACTCTTGTTGAAAATCGGTTCCAAAGCAAAATTAAAACAATCTACTCGGACAATGGGGGAGAATATGTGAGTTTAAAACCTTTCTTTGCTCTTCATGGCATAAGTTATTTAACTACCGCTCCACACACCACACCAAAATGGTGTCTCGGAATGACTTCACCGTAATCTATTAGAAACCGATCTTACTTTGCTTCTTGATGCAAATTTACCTCACTTATTGGCCACATGCTTTTCAAACAACCACATATCTTATAAATCATCAACCCACACCTTTACTCCGAAATATCTCTCCGTACCAAGCTCTTTTTGGTCAACCACCAAATTATATTAAATTAAGAAAATTTGGTTGTTTGTGTTATCCACCACCAAACCGTACAACATACACAAAATGGGCCCAAAATCCACACCCTGTATTTTTTTGGGCTATTCCCTCACTCAGAATACTTATCGTTATCTCGATCCAACAACATGGCGCCTGTACATCTCACGCCATGTTTTATTTGACGAGGCCCAAAACCCTTTGACTGAACCTTCCTCTACATCACTCTCTACTTCTCCTTTGAGTCTCTCCAAAGTTCCACATTCCGTTCCAGCTGCTGTGCCGCCCCTGTTACTTCCGTCGCCACCAGTGCCTCCGGCAGGTTCTCCCACCATAGTCACTGCACCTCTAGGTACATCTCGGATCTCTACTTCTTTTGATTTACAAACACAATTGCATTTAGATTCAAATGTTGACAACCCGACATCTACAAACCCTACCTCACCCAACTTATTGCCGAATCTAACTCCCTCCTCCACTCCCTCTGTCAATCCTGACCTAGGAGATAGCTCTACCCATCCATCTTACATACCCCTTTAAAATCCCTCCCGAAACCCTCACTCATCCACTTCCCGAACCCATCATATGACCACTCGGTCTATGAACCAAATCTTCAAGCCAAAACAGTTGCACACTGTTACCAAACATCCCTTACCCGACACCATTGAGCCCACATGTGTGAGTCAAGCTATCTCTGAATCTCACTGGCGTGAGGCCATGTCCCATGAACTCACTGCACCCATGCGGCATGGGACTTGGGACCTAGTACCCCCTCCAAGTTATTGCAGTCCAGTAGGCTACAAATGGGTTTTTCGAGTGAAGCGTAAACCTGATGGGTCTGTGGATCGGTTTAAAGCCCGCCTTATGGCAAAAGGGTATCACCAACGTCCAGGATTAGATTATAAAGAGACCTTTAGTCCCGTGGTTAAGCCAGCCATAATTCGAATTGTATTATCTATTGCTGTAATGAATGGGTGGGGTATGCGGAAAATGGACATTAATAATGCTTTCTTACATGGGAAACTTACTGAAACTATCTATATGCTACAACCCCCAGGCTTTAAAGATTTAACCAAGCCTGATTATATCTGTCGCCTTCGCAAGGCTATCTATGGTTTAAAACAGGCACCTCGTGTGTGGTACTCAGCCCTGACAAATGCTTTACTTCAGCTTGGCTTTAAGATCTCACAGGCAGATTCTTTGTTGTTCATTTATAAACATGAAGGTATTATATGTTATTTTCTGGTTTATGTGGACGACTTAGTAATCACTGGCAATAATTCCAAATTTGTAAGTTCTATTGTGGAACAACTTGGCTGGAAATTTTCATTAAAAGACATGGGGTCCTTAC